GGTAAGACTTTGGAAGTGCAGGTTTGGCTGGCAGAGTGGAGGCTGTTTCAACGGTTGGGTCTCAGATGGTTACACACCTGTGGGCCTCAAAGAAAACACCCAGACCCTGGAAAAACCTCCAAGGCTCCATAATGCATATTTATTAAGTTTCTCAGAGACTGAATTTGTTCCCCCTATTACCGGAGATTATGCCTAAAATATATGAAAATGTAAGATGGTTCTAGTCTCAGCATGAGAACATAAAACAAACAGATCTAATGTGTGATGACGGATGTGAGTCTGCAAACAGACCTTACATGTCCTCATCTGTCACTCAGCACATTTCGCCAAGCCCTTCATTCAAAACTCCTAACTGCACAAACATGGCTTATACTGTGAAATTCTTTACCATCAAATGTAAATAACCTTTTTGTGTAATGCATTAACTGTGTATGTCTGAGGCTGTGTGCCATTATGATCAGGTATCAAAAGCAGCACAGGTGGTTGAGCTGATTCATATGGTTCATTTAAAATGTGTGATTAGCTTGTCCCCTGTCTGACATGGTAAACATCAAATAAAAGGTAAAGTTCGTATACTTGACCAGGTAAAAAAGGAGTATGATATCTGCAAGTATGTTTCAATGAATGTATTATCACCTAAATGCAAGAGTTGTTTTAGGTCCGCCTTCATCAAGGCCTCCATCTTGTATCGCCATGTTCCTCCCAGTGCTGTGAGTAAAATCCTGACAAAACGAGGATCATGACAATCATGCACAAAAGGTGCCATCATTTCCCTAATGGAAGGGGTGAGCAAGGGGGTGTTTTAATCTCGAATCTAACTGCTGGATATCACACAGTCTTTACATTTCTACATGCTGTACCTTTAAGTGCTTCCCATAGGCTGAAATTCTTGTTACAAGTTAAACAACCATCATGAACTGGTTGGAAAGCTGCTTAGATGAGAGTTTTTAGGTACTTTGATCCATATGGCAGTTGATTAAGCAGTTCATATAGTAGGTGGGTGGACAATAAAGTCAGTAAATAATAGTTTTTTAAAAGGGTTACAGGTATAGAATGTAGAAGTGGGAATTTTAGTCATCAGATTGCAGATTTGAATGCCCCCCTGCTCACCCCTCATGTAGGTGAAGTAATGGTTGCCTTCAAGGAAAAAAGTTGCAGTAACACATTATAAGTTTGTCTAGTTTTTACAATAAAAAAATGCAGATCAGTTTAATTTTCTATTGCACACAACAACCACTTTCTTCTTCTTTGTCTACCAACCACTGCCTTTGGCACGGCTGCTCTCTGATTACAAAAACACACATTAGTTTTTTGTCCATTCAGTGGTACTGTAGAAACATGGCAGTGCAAGATGGCTGCCTCTGTGAGAATGTAGATACAAAAGCTTACCAAAGATCTTAATATTTGATATATTTTTTAGTATATTCTTATATCTTGGTGTTCTGACACTCATTTAAACATACTTATATATATTTAATTGTCACTTACTTAATGCTTTGGTCAACTTCTTTATTAAACTGAAACCATTTATGTGATCTCTAACAAGTCATTGAGAATGTCAAAGTGGAGCTGTGCTGTCATGCTTGTCGAAGGGAGTTGTGGCATATAATGATCAATTTTAGATATTACATATCAGAGATTTAATCTGACTGCATGAGCCTTAGGCTCTTCCTGTATACTGATTCATCTTGACTTACTCAGGCCATTCAATGTATTTATGTTTGTGTATTCATGTACAGGCTGCTTATATCTTCCAGTACACTCACTGTGCCGTGTGAACACTGCAACAGGCTTACTGAGAAAAGCATTAAAATGAATACAGCAGTTCCATCTAAAGGTCACCAGCAGGAACTGCAACAAGAAATTAAACACCTTTTTCTCTCATTCTGACACACTTCCTCCTCACTGCTTATAAAACTTAAACCACAGCATACCCACTATAGTATGAATTCATTATGTAATGAATCTACAGGAGAGGAAAAGATGCATTATCTTCATAAGGAAGCTCCATCAGAGAGACTATTGAGAGGTTGAACTGGGAGGAATTTCAAAGGTCTGCATGTCATTGACCAGAGGGTTCCTGCGAGCTCAGAGCCCAGTTTGTTTGTTGCAAATGAAGAATTTTTGAAAAGCTGCACCATTATTTTCAGTCACGAGTCTTTGCCAATTATAAGACAGGAAAATATGTACTCTCATGCCTGCATACACAATGATACATGCATTTACAATCACACACACACAAACACACAAACACACAACATTGTAGTAAATTGGGTGGGATGTTTAAACCCTCTTGGCGTCTGATCAGACTGAGTTTCCCATGAAGTTCTTTGTAGAGCAAAAGTGACTTTAACTGATTGGGGTGGGTAAGTGGCCTGAGCAAATAGCCCTTCTACAGTGACAAGGGGATCGGAGAGAGCAATTAGCGCAGTCTTGAGATCTACAGTTCCATAACCTGAGATAAACTTTCTTGATTACCACATAAAACTGGCCTTTCTTGAATGGCATGTCACTGAGGAGAAATGGGGCCGCTTAAGGTGCAGGGCTGGCAACAGTCCTGGAGTTCAGCGAGTTAAAACTTAGCCCCATGAGAACAAATCGCACGTATTATAAGTGGTGACTGAGATAGCTCTAGGAATACAGGCATATCAAACAATACCCCAGCAAGCATTTAATAGCTCACAACAGCAGCAGGCTGTTGGCAGGTAAAAGGCGTTGTCTGCCAAAACAAAGCTGAGAGCATGCTTTTCCCTAATTGCTTCAAGCATTGGCACATAGCAATGAAACTCTATGCAAATCCTACAGCTTAAGAACCAGAAAGGCATCATTGAGACAGAAGCAGGCAGCTGTAAAGGATTATTTAACTTCACAAGATAACACCTTCTCAACAGGTCAGCAATAGATTGTTACATCACAGCTGCTATGAGCTACAACCGTAAGAGTTGAGATGCTTTGCGCCTGTTGATAGAAACGCAGTTGAATGGTTTGCAAAACATTTGAAACTTATATTTAATTAAAATAGATGGGAAGATGCTCACCACTCTGTAAGAGACTGTGTGAGCTCATCAAATAGCAATTCTAGCATAATGCTAGTAATGTTCCTCAGCATAATACTGCAAATGCTTTGAGTCTTTTATTATTGATGGTGTGTAATAAATTTATCAGATTTACATTGTATTATTGAAGTATTTGGAGAACCTGGAGATATTTATGTACAAAAGGGACAAGACCAAAGAGTGATGATATTCCAGTCCTTCAGCAGCACTGCATGGAAAACAGAAAATACTCTGAAGTAGAAATCACCGCATAGGCTTGAAATTGCTTTAATGAACAGTGTCTGTGAGCCAGGTTTGTCTCTGTACCCACAAATATAGGGAAAACTTTACCATGCAAAGATGAACTGAGGCCTAGTTCAGAACTTTTTTGGGATTTCCCAAATCAAACTGTGACTTTCTCTTTTGGACTCCATGGATGCCACATCTGCACCTCAACAGACAACCTAGCTTGTTATCAGTGCACAACTCAAAAGCTAGCACCCATGATGATATGGGGATGCATATGTGAAGATGTGTAGTTTATACAAAAAACACAATTAATGCTGAACAATACATACAGCATACATTTGGAGCAATGCAGACAATTGGAGCGATACAGCGAAAAGATGCCAAACTGTATCCTGCAGGCTCCAAAAGAAGCAGAGCTCTGTAGTAGAAGAGTATATGTGCTCAACTGTCCTGCCTGTAGTCCTGACCTGTCACACCATAAAAAACATGACAAAGGAGACTCTGAAATGTTGGGCAGCTGAAATGCTATATGAGACAAATTTAACTCTTAAAGGTCCAGAGAGAGGTAGCCTTGGTTTCCAAACATTTACAGAGTAATATCAAAAGACAACGTGACGCAGTATTAATGTCAACATGTCCCTGTCCTGACTTGAATGTTTTGCAAACCATCAAACTGTTTTTCTTAACATTTTCACACAGCATCCATAGTATTTGAACAGAGCTAGCCTCGGTATCCTCTTATTCATCCAAATGACTACTGCGACCCTCTGTTTTGTAGGGCTGTAATCAACCAAAGCAATTCTTGGTCGACTAAACCCTGAAATTTTCGACCAAAATCGACTAATGGGGCGGGTTCCGACGCAGCTTGGCGCTGCGAAGCTCAGCAGGGTGAAAATATACTGATATCCGCACAAGGAGCCAATGTCTTTGACATGGATGGTAGAGGAGGACTCACATGAAAGTTGAAACACACCAAATAAAAATAAACATTCAGGAAACCACCCGATGTTGATAAACGTGCACGCTCTTCAATCTTCCTGTCCCCAGTTGGTCTCCAGTGGTTTGGGCGAATCCAAAATGGTGAAAATAAAGGGGGGTGCTCTAAGACAAGCTGTTACCTGTGAAATGGGGGTGCTCTGGAAATCCCCCCATTAGCACTTGGTATGTTCCCCCTGATGAAATTAACCGTAGAATGTAAATTGACGCAGAAGCAAATCGAGTCGACCCATCAGAATTTTGGTCGACTCATCGCGTATCTACCAATAAGTCGACCAGTCGACTCGGACTTTACAGCCCTACTGTTGTTTTGCTTGACCAACATGACATCCCTGCAAAAATCGGCAGCTGAGATGTTATGGTGCATATTCACTGACCTCCCATCAGCTGTATCTTCACAACTCCTGCACATGGTCAGGAAGCCAACTGAAGCCACCAGCTCCACAGCTACAGTACAGCAGTGCAGACAGGTATGATCTGGAACACCACAGTGTGAAAAACAGTGACTAATGCTATGGAACAATACAATGTACAGGATGATTGAAAACACGGATTATAACATTATAGGATAATATGATGTGATTCAGCAGACTCTGATTCAAAGTATGACAAGGGTGCAGAAGACACAGGAACTAAACCTCATAGCAGTGAGATGTAACCAAACTACCAAAGCAACAGCTCTGGTAAAAGTACAGTAAAGGGATTCAAGATGAGGGAGCTGAAAGGATAGAAGGAGGGAGGGAGGAGGAGTGGAGAGATTGAGCGTAACAAGCAAGCTCACATAAAGCCGGTCTCATTCTTTTTTCCTCCCCTCTCTCCCTCCCTCCCTCTCCATGTCTCTCCCTCTCTCTCTCACCATTACAGCAGCATTAGAAGCTGAGCTGCTCAACTGTTCCAAGATGTCAGAACTACAAAGCTCCCTTCAATGAGGGAATGTGGGGCCCAGGGCGGCGAGGGGGTCTGGAACAGCTGGCCCAGTGGTGGGGCCTCCTGTTCCCTCGCTTTGCAGCCGCTTGCTAGCTGGGACAAGACAGGGATGTCTGGCTAAGAGGGTAAGGGTGGAGGGGGATGTTGATGTGTGTGTGTGTGTGTGTGTGTCTGTGTGTATGATGTGGAAGGATGGAGGGGGTCAGGGAATGTTTCTGTCATGTCAGTGTAGGAGACATGACACAGGGATCACCAGGCTGCCCCCCCTGACCAAAAGTAAGGAGGACAGGATGGGTGGGGACAGAGGAGGGGACCATGTGGCTGGGAGGCTTTGAGGAATTGGCAGTGAGGTATGTTCGAGTCTGAAATTTCATTGATAAGCGTGAAAAAGCACAAAGAAAGTGAACAAGAGAAAAGTTCAGAAAGCTGAATGTATCTTTTAACACATAGAAACACATGCAAGCGCATACGGATGGACGGCCGCATCTCCATCTGCTCATGCTCCGTGTGCAGGGAGACATGGAAAATTACAGGGAGAGAACACTTGTGGCTTCCATCTCATCTTTGGTGTCAGAGAAGTGTGACTTAAAAGGGAGAGGGATAAAAGGAGGCTAACTATTTTGGACGGCAGGAGAAAGCTGGGAGCTGTTGAAGCACAGAGGGAGAGGAGAAAAAACAGATAGCATGAAGAGGTTTCAGCAAAGTTCAAGGAAGGTATCAGGTTAAAATAAAGTTGAATTTGGCTGCACATTAAGCCTCCTTTTTTCCCAGAACGTGAACATAGACGGGGGGTTCATGGGCGCTTGTTGTGGGCCCGCCACACATGATGCTGGAAAAAAAGGCTCAGCTTCTGCAGAGAGCGGGCTCAACGCAGAATCTGGAAAGGACTTTAAGCAGCTACATCTGCACTCACAGATATAGAAGACCCACAATTACGGGCTGCAATGGAAACACAACTTTCAAAGAACGAACTGAAGGCAAACATTTAATGTAAACCACCATACAGTAAATGTAACCAAATGACGTCCGAGTCCCATGAACAGGCTCTGTGTTTCATTTAAGATATGGCACCATGCAAGAATCTCACTATAATTGTATTGTTGCTTGTTTTTATTGCTGTTTGTTTTTTTTCCATGCTTTCGGTGTGTTGTCATCTGCATTAATGAGACACATATGAATTCACTGGAGCTCTTTCTGACACACAAGTCCTCTTAAAAGATAAGAATAAGAATAACTTCATTTATCCATGAAAGGAAATTCAATGTGATACTCCCCCACAACACAAAAACACACACGTGCACCGAAACGTAAAACCCAAAACAACCATATCTGTGTGCTGCACACATTTGCCCACACACACAAGCACACACACAGCATTCCTACTGGGGGTGTGAGTGCTGGAGACCTCATGGATTGTGAAGTGCACAAATTCCAAAACAGAAAAGTTAAACATCCCCTTTTAAAGAGAAGACTGGATTATTTTACAGGAGTTTCCGTTTGAGGGCGCCACACAGGCGACCATGCGCCTGCTTGACACACCAACATAAAGCACAGTCTCTTGGGCGGCCAAGAGAGCCTTCCAACTAAGATTAGAGCTGCTCTTAAAACCGGATCTTAATTGTGTACATTTGTAATTATACAATGGTTCGCCTCTTCCCTTAAGAGTAACTTTAACATCTGGAATTAGGAATGACACAGGTTTTTTTTTTTTTTTTTACCCCAGTTGGAGAGAGGCTGAAAGGGATGAGAGAAAAAAACAGCAAATAAAACAACAAAACACAGGAATCTAAGTGGTAAAGATTCAGCTTTTAAGGCTTTCCTGTTTCCCTGTGCAAGCATGTGAGGTATGTGCTGGAGGAGGACACAAAAGATGATTCCTGGAGTTCCTCTTTTGGCTCGGAGCACAGCAGTGGACCAGCCAGCAAGCTTTTCAAGCAGCCAGGCAGCACAGCAGCCCCAGCTGCAGGAACTAGAGCTCTCCAGGTCTCACAGCAGCTTCCTGCAAACTACAGAGTGCGTGTGCAAGCAGCTGCATGCAAGCAAGAGCAGGCATGGAAGGAACCACATGAAGAGTGCTAAAATCTCTGATGGGACAGGGTCAGAGCCATTCTTCTTTACGCATTTACGTATTTTATGACTTCATAATCCAAAGATGTTGAAGAGGTTTGGGTGTCTTCAGAAGGGCACTTAACCTTTTGATCAATGACTCTTTGGGAAGAAGAAACTCTTGCAAACTCCCTCTTAAGGAGATAAAACTGAACACGGGCGCAGTCACACCAAATGTGGAGGACCATCATATTTTAAGCCCATAGTACGTCCAAGACTTAAATGTCAACATTTAACACGGCAGCTCTTTTTAAGGAGGGGTTTTCTATTATAATTTATGACACGTGTTGTAGTTTGGTATCTGGTCATAACGATAAATGACCGTCTTGAAATTTTAGTTTCCAGGATCTACAGAGTTACAACTCTGTAGATCATTTCTAGCCTAAAAGAAACAGAAAATGCAGCTACTGAAAAAACGTCTTTTCTTTTCTCAGAGTGTTTCTGAATGTTTGTTCACTCGAAAAAATCCCTGATATGATATCCCTCCAGTGGATAAAAAGACATAGTCATCCAGACCTGGGTCAAACTCTGGGTTGATTGACATAATGGACTGGGAACAGTTCAGTCATCTCTCCCATAATCTGTTGCTGGTGAGGATCAGCTCTTTGAAACCTGAACCAGCAGCAATCTACCGTCTGATATGTATAATGTTAACATTAAGTGAGGCAATAGCGCTCATTTCCTGAGTTTATTATTGCACACACTAGTTACACAAAGAGAGCAATCTTACACAATTCACTTCTGCAGCAGGAATGAAAGAGAGGGAGCTTCTGTCTGTGGGAACAGTCTTACAGGAGCGTGCAGATGGAGGACGGGGCTGCAGGAGAAGCTTGTTGCTTCTCTGGGGTGTAATTTCGGATTATGATGAAAAAGGGAAAGGGTGTGCAAAAGGACAATGTTAGACTGCACTGAAATAATTAGTGTCCACAAACAGCAAATTTAGGGAGGTAGTTGTCTCATCATAATTTCATGCACACAGACTGAGTGCTCTGATGCACTCAGAGCATGTCTGCAACATTGACTGAATCCACTGCATTATGAAGCTGCACACACAGAGTATACAAATCATTTTTTCAATGTTAATGTCCTGAGACAAGTATATCTGCTCAATTTTCTCTGTCAGCATCAGATCACTCACATGTGAAGATGGTAAGCACAAAGACAGAGTCTTACTCTCTTTAAAATATATACTTTCCAGTGTTGGGACGAACGCGTTATTAAGTAAAACGTTACAGTAACTACGTTACTTTTGTGGTTACAAGTACTGTAACTAATCACAGTTTCTGTCATGGCCATGAAGCACATGTGACGCAGTGATGTTCTAGTGAATGAATGAAAACAACAATGGCGGCAGTCGACAACAGTCCAGACGTGGGATTTCTCTCGTGGAAATATGCACGTTATTTTTCTTTTCTGACGGTAAAAGACAAGAGGAGAAATATTATGGTGCCTGGTAGGTTAGGAGCAAACCAGAGGATTGGCAGCCTCCCTGGCTATCCTGTTAGGGAGGCAACACATTAATAAGAGAATTTAGAGTAAAAAAAAATCAATTTACTTTTCCTAGTAACTAGTTACCTTGAAAGTAACAAGTAACTTAGAGTAACTGAGTTATTTTGGAAAGAAGTAACTAGTAACTGTATTTAAGTTACTAATGTTAAGTAACTTGCCCGACACTGAAAATCACACACTGAGATGCTAAATTTTTACATATTAATCATTTGAAACATCAAGATTTGAATCATTTCAAATTTTGAATAAGAGTTGGGAAATGTGTTAAAAATGCGTACTTCTGCAAGACATGAATCATACACAACAAAATGGAGATATTAAAGAGAGGTGATTAAAAAGAGCAGATTAGGCCTGCATGGGTTTATAATGAACAATAATGTAAAACTCTGAGATCAAGCTAGATGAGTTCATAAGCTTTTAAAATCTCTTTTCAATCAAAGTTACTGCCCCCCTTTTCCTTTTTATGAAGAAGACCCGAATGACATTTAATTCAAATCTTCCTTGAAATTCATGCAGGAAGTATGAGGCGTCATTATATCTAAATGAGACTAAATAAAAGAGCTACTGCTCACTGCCACAAAAACCAAATGAAGAGAACAGACTGATACACTAGCCTGTCTAATCTTTAGAAAACAAGTCTTTTAGACCCCATTCACCTGATAAGTCCAGAAAAGATTCTTGAAAAAAACTTATTCTGAGAGCATGACATGTAAGCCACTAACAGTTTTTTTTGTTTTTACAAGTAATTCAAATCTTTCGAATCGCAGTGAATCAATTTTCTAGAAATAAAGCATACACAGTGAGTTTTGCAGTAAAGATTCTGTGTCTGTTTAGTCTGTAGATATGCTCAAAGTCTCGAGTATTCTACATGCCAGTCCCCTCAATATATGCCAAGTTATAAAATATTGAAGCAGACTATCTTGTGCACACTTATGAGGAATGACGGATCAGATTGTCCATCTATGTTGCGCCCAAAGATATCTGCATTAAGTCCAGAGATGTGAGGGCATCCAGCTTTAGACTGACAGACAGACAAAGACGAAGAGCACCAGAACCATGTTTGAAATTTCTCCTGTTTTCCCATCAGGGCCTGCAAAGAAAGACAAGCTATCCATCAGTTCACTGAAAAGTCCAATGAGCCTCCTCAACCTCTACATTGAGTCAACATACAGTCCCCTTAGTCACAGGCAGGGATCATAAAATGTTTGGTGACCTTAGACTGACTCTGGTGAGCGTAGGCACAATGTGACAGTCCAGCACTGACTCGCATGCCTGTAAGACATTAGACTTAAACTGTCTCTGCCGCA